ACGACGCAGCAGGTCAATGGGTCCGGTGTGGGAACAGAACTGCCCGACAGCCAGTTTGGTGCGAGCTATTATACGCCCACAACAGCACAAAATCACCAGGTGAGCCATCCTCAGACAGGAGCTGCGGTCCCTGCGCCTGGTCCGTTTCAACCGCAGCAGTTATCATCTCATCACTATCCGTTCGGCAATGGAAACGACTTGCCTGGTTCCGAATCCTATCGTCCAGCGATGTCAGATCCGCAATTTGTGAACGGTCCTTGGACTTCGTTTCCCGGGGGAAGTGGTTATCCTCAGCAATCTCGATACGGTCCGTACGGAGGAGGAGGATTCAGATAAATGGAATGGCATATCGTGTCAGTTGCAATAAAACGGCATTGTGGGCTTGCACGAGATATCACCTTGCGAGCAGGGCATGTTTCGCTTTTAAATTTTTCCCTCCCTCTCCCTTCTTCGCTTGATATCCATATCCTCAGTCTGATTGTTATGATGATTTTTTTCTCTCTTCTCAATCCAATTGCTTGCATTCTTGATAGATGTTACGGAGTATGATGCTGTATCAAAGTTTTTTTTTTTCCCCCATTCGGTTCTTTGCATATAGATATCCACAGAGTGACGGTTTAGTAAAGAAAAAATAGAGTCGATTATTAGTTAGTGTTTTCCTCTATGGCTGGCATGAACCAGAGGTAGAAGATGCGAAGATGCATATGTTTATAAACATTCGAAGATGTCCTATGCTTATATCCATGGATCTGTCCACGGGTCCACTGGATATAATGCCTTCCTAAACGGGTATAGACGTTCTAGACCCACCCGTTGCAGATGTTCCAGAAATGGAAGGCGGTCACTATTTCCCGAGCACGGCAAAAAAAAAGTTCTGCCAACGCTTTTTGATAAAGGTTAAGCTTGTGCACAGCATCAAGCCAGCCATTAATTCATTAGTGGTGGTTCTGTTTGAGGGCTAGCTGTGGACTATACCGACCATGGCTTCCGTCTACAAATCAATCTCCAAGAAGGAGAAGAAGAAGAAGGAGCGCCCCGTGGCGGCGGAGGACGGGGATGTGACCATGGACGATGTGATGGAGAACGGCATTGACGACACTAGCGACAGCGAGGAAGAAGAGGAGCAGGAGGAACAGGAGGAAACTCAGGAGCAGTCCGGGTCAGGATCGGGCCAGCAGCAGCAGCAGACGCAGACGCAAAACAAATCCGGGTTGATGCCCAAGACTCGCGTTCTCATGCTTACCTCTAGAGGGGTTACGTATCGGTAAGGACGGGCTGGATTTATTTCATCTGTGCTTACTTTGCTATTTCATATTATTTCGCTAACGAGATTCAATGCTAGACACCGACATCTCCTCACCGATCTGATGGCGCTTCTCCCCCACACGCACAAGGAGAGTAAACTCGACACGAAAAAGAACGGCGGCTACAACCTGCTTCTCAACGACCTCGCGGAGCTGCATTCCTGCAATGTCGTGTTCTTCCTCGAGGCGCGGAAACGCGGTCAGGACCTCTATCTCTGGCTCTCGCTGCCGCCCAACGGTCCCACGATCAAGTTCCACGTGACGAACATCCACACGATGGGCGAGATGGGGACGGGCTTTGCGGGGAACTGCCTGAAAGGCGGACGGGGCCTTGTCGTCTTCGATCGCTCCTTTGACGAG